GCCACCAACAGTCAGTCTCACTTGGATGTTGACAGTCTGGTCAAACAGCAGGCAGTGGATAGCAGTGGCTTCATCCTATCATTCCCTCTAGGTATTCTTGATGGTCGGTGTGGATCTAGGTGTCTGGATATTGTCTTTTTATATTTTCCTGAGTTTGTTTATTGTATTATCAGAATCAGTGTATTGTCGATGTTAGTATTAGGCAGGCCTTTCATAAGTCTAGCATCCTGGCGACCAAAAGTCAGTTAGACAAAGAACTCTGTTTCATACATTACGTGTATTCTTCTACTTTTTCTTAATTCACATTAGAAAAAGCAAGGGGCCGCATTAGCGCAGTCGATAAGAGGCTTGCTTTCAAATCCAGCTGCGACTCGCTGCAGCCATGGTCGGTGTTCGAAACCGGGCGGCTCCCGGGGTTCACCCAGCCTCTAGGAAATGGGTACCAGAGTTGACACTCTGGGGTGAATGGAGGAACGTTGCTGTAGCTACAGAGTTATGTGCGAACAGCGACACAGGCAGACAGTTCTTATCAGCTGTCCGTACTGGTGGCAGAGCACTTATGGTTTATAACCGTGTGCAATGACGCTGGTTCACATCTCCCGACTTTACCTTTACTTTACTTTATTTAAAAGGTCAGCTGGCACATTGTTGTTTACAGCTAGGCTGAAACATCTGTGCTGTTCGATCCACTAAATCCAATTCCAGCAAACCCTATCCCATATTATCACCTTTAACGTCATGATTTTTATAGGGACAGTGTTCTGCTGACACCAACTAACATAATTTTAACATTTAACAGTTCCCAGTGTTCCACTGACACCAGCTGGCATAATTTTAACAATTTCCAGTGTTCCACTGACACTAACTGGCATAATGTTAACAGTTCCCAGTGTTCCACTGACACCAATTTGCATAATTTTAACATTTTTCCAGTGTTCCACTGACACAAACTAACATACTTTTAACATTTTTCCAGTGTTCTACTGACACAAACTAACATACTTTTAACATTTTTCCAGTGTTCTACTGACACAAACTAACATACTTTTAACATTTTTCCAGTGTTCCACTAATACACTCTGGCAGTTCGGCTAGTTTGCTTGCAAAATTCATGTCCACTTGAATGAACCGAACACATAACATTCTGTGCTAGGCATGCCATTTTGGCATCTCGCTAGCCATACTTCTGTACTATTTGACCTTGTGTCTAAAGATGCTGGGCTTTTGGAAATCCTTGTATATTACCTATTGTAGCACCAGATAAATTTAATGTATATTATTTGCTCTCTCTTTCTCTGTATTGGCTCAATATAGTTTGTGCTAGCTGCTTTGAAATGTTATTTGGCATTTTGTGTGTACAGTTAGGACTTCATTTAAACTCTGCATAGATTGTAGTTGTTTCAAATTATAAATAAATCAGCACAAGTAGGGGTAGTGTAGTTCACTTGCCTGATGGAATGGTTGTCCTGGGTTCAAGTTTCCCTCAAGGGAGGAATTTGTAATAAACAAATGCCTTGTTTGGTCAGCTGAGCCTCACACAATGATTCTCGGAAACTTAATGACAACAATAACTTCATTTACTAAACAGGTAGCCTTTATATATTAATCAATCAGAATGACCTTTACAGAACGTCGCTCTCTTCACAACACACTTGAAAATAGCTTGTATATAGATATATATAGATATATATATATATACACATACACACACACACACATATATATATAGAAGAGTAACAAGGCAGGACATTAATGATACAGGTATTAACGTGGACTTGTTGGAACAAAATGCCATGGACCGTGTTGCATGGAGGGGACACATCAGGAAGGCAATGAGAAACAAGGAAGAAAGGATGAGAGCTGAGTGTTTGAAAAGACACTCACTTAACACAAGTGTTGTTAATAATGGTCCTGAAATCCCACGTTATAATTGTGGAAAACTTTTCTTAACATGGGCGGGTTTGCTAGTCACACTCGCCATCGCCATGGACTGCGAGTCCCATGCCTCCTTATAGCACAGTATAACACTGTCGTCTGGAAGGATGGATGGAAAGGTGCCAACTAACTAATATAGTGCAGTAACAGTATTAAGTGTTAAACTGTCTTTGCTATCTGTATTTACTTTGATAAAGGCGATGTTGGATAGGAGGTTTTTGAGCCTGAGGGTTTAGGGTCACGTGGCTGGTGCAGTCATCACAGACTGCAGGTTGGGATTTTACTGATGCTACAGACATAAATAAACCCATCACCTTACTTAGGATTCACCCCTGGGTCTCCCAGTGATAGCCCAGCATTCTTAGTTACTAGACCAGCCGCTTCTCCAAAAGAAGACATTAATTTCTTACAAGACAGTCTCTTCTTATTATTCGTACTGATCTGTTTGACAGATCTGGCTTATCTGTATGCAGACTATTGGTTCCTCACCTGTCAGGCAGGTGTATTCTGACTTTGAAGGAACTACCCCTAATTAGTTGAACTGTACATCTTGCTTGTTAAGGGAGCAGTGGGTCTGTTCTGTTTTCCTCCACAATGTTGTCCCTGAGCTGACACAGGGAACACATCGATCTGTTGTTTTCATGAATAGCCTTTGCATGCTCGGCCACATGGTGAGCTGTAAGCCAACAGAAAATATCTGCTCCATTGATCAAGTAGTTAAGGAATGACAGCTGTTGCCAGTTAGCATGAGTCGATAATGCATGGTGATCATTGCACATTATTATATGGTCATTCTTGTCTGCCAGAATTTTGAATTTTTTTAAAGCATATATATCTAACACCCCTTATCCATTTTGTAATGATTTATGTCTGTCTGTCTGTCTGTCTGTCTGTCTGTCTGTCTGTCTGTCTGTCTGTCTGTCTGTCTGTCTGTCTGTCTGTCTGTCTGTCTGTCTCTCTCTCTCTCTCTCTCTGACACACACACGCACATGCACACACACACACACACACACAAGCATAAATATCAGCATTGATTGTTCAGGCTTATATATACATACACACAAATTTATACGCAAGCACATAGAACATCATCATTCATTTTTAGACACACTCTTACACCACACACACACACATGTAAACACCCACACACACACACACACCCACACACATACAAAATCTGCAACAACCTACCCTGTCTTCTCCAAAGCAGTGTAGTTATTCAGATGGAAATAATTTGCCGCACTTTCTGCTGGGTTTATCATAGCTGCTTGCAACAAGAAAACAGTAATATCACAGTATGACTTCACACTGAGGCAAAGTAAACTTAATCTAGACAGGACTTCACATCTAGACAGGACTTCACATCTAGAGAGGACTTCACATTGTTAGATCAAGTAAACTGTTGCATCTGCATAGGAATTCACATCTAGACAGGATCTCACATATGGACATACCTCACATCTATACAGGACTTCATATTGTTAGATCTAGGGAGCTTTTGCATTTGCATAGGACTTCAGATCAAGACCGGACCACATTTAAGCAGGACCTCACATCTAAACAGGACCTCACATCTAAACAGGACCTCACATCTAGGCAGAACCTCACATCTAGGCAGGACCTCACATCTAAACAGGACCTCACGTCTAGGCAGGACCTCATGTCTAGGCAGGACCTCACATCTAAACAGGACCTCACATCTAAACAGGACCTCACATCTAGGCAGGACCTCATGTCTAGACAGGACCTCACATCTAAACAGGACCTCACATCTGGGCAGGACCTCATGTCTAGGCCGAACCTCACATCTTGGCAGGACTTTACATTGTTAGGTCTAGGAAACTGTTACATCTAATCAGGACCTCACATCCAGACTGGACTTCACATTTAGACAGGACTTCACATCTAGGCAGGACTTTACATTGTTAGGTCTAGGAAACTGTTACATCTAATCAGGACCTCACATCCAGACTGGACTTCACATTTAGACAGGACTTCACATCTAGGCAGGACTTTACATTGTTAGGTCTAGGAAACTGTTACATCTAATCAGGACCTCACATCTAGACCGGACTTCACATTTAGACAGGACTTCACATCTAGGCAGGACTTTACATTGTTAGGTCTAGGAAACTGTTACATCTAATCAGGACCTCACATCTAGACCGGACTTCACATTTAGCAGGACTTCACATCTAGGCAGGACTTCACATTGCTAGGTCTAGGAAACTGTTACATCTAGTCAGAACTTCATTCTAAACCAGTCCTCACATCTTGACAAGACCTCACATCTAGACCGGACCTCACATCTAGGCAGAACTTTTAACATTTATTATTGCTATATGTAGACCAGTTACAAGTCACCTGAAGGTAGTTCATAACACTATCCATTAGACCAGTTACATTTTACTTCTAGGCAGACTTTATCAATGTTGAATGATGATTTGTGAGGACTATCAGCACAGCACCCTGGACAGATCTCTACTGTTAGCTTCACTGTGGAGAAAGCCAGTACAGACAGACTTTATGAACTGTTAAACTTGGAAACAGTCAAACTGGCAGATTTCTGAAGCTGCAATAGTTCTGCCTGTTTGTTCATACTCTACCACTGATTACCACTCTCATTGTTCAGGTGGCAGTATTGATTCCTAGCTACAGCTACTGCTTGTAATAATGATGGTTGTCTACCAACATAAATCATTTGACAGACATTCCTTAACACTGCAACTCAGTCTCTTGTATTATCTCTTGTATTATATTGTTAAACTTGCTTATCTTCTGCTAGTTTTCTTGGGTATGTTATTTGTTTATTTTGTTTTTATTGACACATCTTTGTTCTGCTGTTGTTTACAAGTTTTTGTGAGGGTGTACGTTATTTTTTTCATAGGATAAATTTACTAATTCTTGTTTTAAGTAGAATTTTTGTATATACATATTTATTCTCTTTGTGGCATTCACTGGCTAAACTTGAGAGAAAATTATGATTTGTTCCTCCAATTCTGGAATTAGTCCTTATTCCAGATCTTGATTTTCCTTGTACACATCCAGTTTACAGATCTGGATTATCTGTATGTAGATTGTTTGTTTCTCGCTTGCCAGCAAATACACTCTGATGGCTTTGGATTAGGCGGCTTTGGATTTTCCATTTCCCCCTAA